CCCACACAGACCTGCTGCTTCCCCACCAATTAGCACTGTGGTTAAATGAGTGCAGCTCCTGCTGTTTCAGTGACAGCTCTGGGGATGAGCCATCCCCAGCCTGAGAACAGGAGTGCCACAGGCTGCAGCAGCAGTGCAAACTTTGCCCGCACGCTGCTCCTGACTCCTGGTGACCCCCGGACAATGAACACCTGTAGTGGAGAGGGCAGAGGCCAGGCTGTCCTTAGAAGCAGTGCTGTATATAAGGGTAGAGCACTGGAGAGTCATCTAGAACTAGCAAAATAACCCATGTCTCCTGCCACTGGCTTGCTGGATGGACTCAAGCGAATCAATACATATTTCTGTGCCTCATTTTCCCCTCCTGTACAAAAAGGAGGTAATGCTATGGATCCTTAGAGACCTGCAGGTGGAAAGTGCTGTTATTGCTGGGCTCTCTGTTGAGATTGGGTATAGTTTTGTGACATGGACACCTGTCCTGCTTAGAACCAAGTTGAGCCCAAATGGCAAACAAACGTCACCTGGTAAGGACTTTCTCCCTCTTCTGATTTGTACATGGGTTATAAAGGAGAAGGGTTCTTCATTTCATAGCCTGCTCACCCCCATCCCCATGTCATCCAGTTCTGCTTCCTACATCAGACTGTGTAAATCGGGAAACTTCTCCAAATTCCAGTTACATCTGGTTTGTGCTGGCACGTCTGCTTCGTTGCTCCCATTTGAACAGAGGTGAACACAGAGGTAAGTGGTGGGTTCAAAGGCAGAACCAAACCCAGGTATCCCATGAACACAGCCGTTTGGGCCACGTGACTTGGAACTGCTTTGTGATAACCCAATGTGAAACTCTGCAGCTTGCAGAAGGCCTGTCGGACTCCAGGGCTCAGGCGATCTAGTGGAGCAGCACAGTCCAGCGGATACAGCGTGAATCCATACTAGTCAGGAGACCGTGGCTTTTTCCATATTCATCTCACATTCCTGCATGATCTTTGTGAAGTTGTATCTCCTCTCTGTCTTAGACTCCCTTTGGGAAACAATATTTCCTCAGCTTTGTAGAGTGCTTTAAGATGCAATGGTTAAAAATCTTTGTATAAGAGCTAAAATAACCTAGGTCAGGTCTTATTGATCCATCATCACTGCTGTAACACGCAGTGCTGTAACACGCAGTGTTGCACACTTCTCTAAGAAGCTGAACTGAGCATAGTGAATAAGCCAAGGGAGTTAAAACCCTGATGAATTTACCCTGCTCTAGTTGTGGTGGGGAGATAAGCTGCAGTCAATAGTTGTCAGTTAAAAGTCCATCTAACAAGCAAGCCTGGCAACTGCACTGATTGGCAGCAGCAAGTCCAAGCACTTCACTATTAGAGCACAACAAATGAGATTAAATGTCTCCCAAATGAATTGAGGTCTTAAAAAAGGGAGATAGAGGAAAAATAGCTGAGCTTATGCCCTTGTGTTACTTCCTCCTGATGGATAGAGAGACATGCCCTCTTCTCTCCCACCCCAAAGCCAGCTTTTCTAAGGCTAAAATAA